ACTGAGGTTTATAGTAGCCATGCCACTTTTCCAGATCTCACAGTGGCAAGTATGTGGGCCTGGCTTCCTCCTGCAGACCCCTGTGGCCCAGACGGTGGTCTGTCCTACCACCTGCCTGGGGCGGGGGGGTGGGTGGGGGGTTGTGAGAGAAACTGAGGAGGGTGAGCGAGGCATCTGGGAACTGAGGGCGGCGGCAGCACAGGTCTCCTGTCTCTCCGCTGCCCCATATGCGACTCCGGAGAGGACACTGGGGGAGCACACCTTGTGTCTGCACGTGCTCGTAGGTCCCAAACTGATTTGGGCTCTGAACTACTTGATGAAATGGCTTTCTGGCCGGGCCACCTCCGTTGGGATTCTGAGCACAGACAAAAGCCTGTCACCCGCCCATCCCACCCTCTGTCCTCCTGGGGAGGGCTGTAGTGCATGCAGACAGGGCTGCTGCCCACGGAGGGAGAAGCGCTCACTCTGCTTGGGCCAGGGGAGGGGCGGGACCTCCATCACCACTGTGGCCCCCTGTTTGGCTCTGCTCCACTCAGCTGCTCCCTGATAGGACAGGACCTGGCACTTCATCACGAGGGGGATGTTTTTCTCCCTCATTTCTAGTAATGACTATGACACAGCTGTATGAGCGAGGACCGCAGAGAAGGTGGAATGGAGACATGGATTCTTCCTTAAGTTAGATTGTGTGTGTGTGTGTGTGTGTGTGTGTGTGTGTGTGTTTGGAGAGTAAGAAAGGGTCTTAACTTCATAACGAGGTGGACAACAGTGCACAGGGAGAGAGCTCCAGGGCCAGGTAAGAAAAAGATGAGGAGGAGAGATGGGACATTCACTCTGACCTGCTTACTGCTGGCAGCTCCTGTGATGGACGAGAGACGGCAGCCTGCGTGTTAACGGGGCTTTCTCATGCCGGGGGCTTGTGTCTCGGCCACGCTCCGACAGCCCCTGAGCTCAGCTTCCTTGTCTGTCACGTAGGGCCGACACCACCAGCCTCCCAGGGGGCGAGCGCGGGAGAGCGTGCATGCAGCAAGCACGCGGCAGGTGCACTTGCTTCCCTGGCGTGATGGAGGGGTTCTGGGGGAGCGAGGGGCAGTCCTTTCGTCCGGTTTCCTCTGGAGGGAGACTCTGAGCCCTGGGCTCCGTGCCACGTCTCTGGGGACAAGTGGTTTCTAGGAATACAGAGCCAAGGTTTTCTGGCCTCCAAGACACTCCTCGATGGAGCCCTGGAGACCTCCCTGGCTTTCCCTTCTAGCATCTTCCCGTCATGTGCTCGCTCACTCCAGCCACACTGACCTCGCTGGACACAGGGCAACCTGGACACGTGAAGCTTGTTCCCAACTCATCGCCTGTGCACTTTCCTCTGTCAGGAGCTCTTTCCCCCCAAGATCACGGTGTCTTTTACATCATTGAAGTCTCAGCTCACGTGCCACCTTCCCCAAGCGCCTTCTGATTATTCAATCCCACTTCCAATGTAAACCCACTCCTCCGCGCAGCCAGCACGCATACCCCGTCCCTGCTTTATTCTCCTCATGGCACGTGTTATTGTTTGAAGCTATCGTGCTGGTTCATTTGTTTACTCGTTTATTGCGTCTCTCCTCCCCACGACAGGGAGAGGCCTTGTCTCTCTTGCGTGGTGCCGGCCCAAAGACCCGGAAAAGCACCTGCACAGTCACTGGTGGACGAGACAGCACACCCACCCCCCACCCCAGGCACAGCCCCCCGGCCTGTGCTGAGTTCCTCCATGCCCAGGCCCCTCTGGCCCACAGCCTCACAGCTTCCTCATCTGTCCCAATGCAGGGAAATCTTAAACCCTGGGAAATGTTACCAAATACACATTCCTCCCACCCCCAAGAAATGTTTAAATTACATTCTGAAGGTGTAAAATAAACCAGGAAATCACGAAAGTTCAATGGTGAGAGCCCGAAAGGTCAACTGCCAAAGAGGAAACGTGAGGATTTTGCTTTGTAAATAGGAGATGATCTGAGTTCTAAGGTTTCCTGGACAAAAGTCAAGGGATAGGCAAGATGGAGTCCTGCATGAGAGACAAGTTTTTTCACCTTATGCATAAGCTGGAGTTGGGAGAGAAAAATGGGGAGTGTGATAAGAAACCTGCAGGAAATTCACAGTGACCCCTGATCCTCCCTCCCTCTCTGTCTCATCCAAACTGGCTGTGTCCCTCCCCCCCTTCCCCGCCCTATCATGACACCTCAAGGACTGCGACTGGGTTGATTCATCTTTGTGGGCTGCAATGCACAGGGCATGGCATACCTTACAGATTTGTTGAGCAGAGCCAAGCCTCCTAGTCATGAGATGGCTATGTCACTTTTTCCAGGTAAGTGCTGACTTCTGCTCCAACATGCAAGAATGCTGTGCCCAGTGCTCCTCTGCCTGTCCCGTCTTGGACTCACCATGTTCTGAGCTCAGAGTTCCCCTATGCTGCCCATACCCTGTTGTCTGCAGCCCCTGGACCAGTTGGGATCTGAAAGCTCTTCAACCTGCCGATTTCCTCTTTACCAGGAAAAACTGTGCCTGCAATTCCAAACTCTACCAGCAGGTGGCAGTTCGGCTTACAGAAGCCTTTCAAAACTAGTTTAATCGCTAAAACTGTACTTCTAATGAAAATACACCCTAAATTAAAACAAGATACATACATACATACATATGCACATCTATTGCTTAACTTGTCATATTGGCATCGATTTAAAAGTATGATAATACCCACAGTTGGCCAGGGCTTGGGGAAACGTGTAGCGTTCATACGCTGTTGGTGGGAATGTAAATTAGTACAGCCTCCTGGAGGGCAATTTGGCAATGCACATCAAAAGCCCGAAACATGTGCAGACCCTTTGGTCCGGCAATTCAACTTCTAGACGTTTATCCTGAGGAGATAATCATGGAAGTAAGTCTCGAGTTATTCCCATAGGATGCTGACTGCAGGGTGAAAAATTGTCACTATAAATACTGTAACTTGGAACCGGGCTAAGTAAATTATATATGATAAAATGCCACGTAGCTATCACACCCTATACGAATTCTTAATGATGTGGGAAAATCTCATGATCCATTAAGTGAAAAACATCAGCCTCAAAAAAACATGTCCACTGCAATCGCAGTTTTACACTAAGAAATATGGACACAAACTTGTGCATAAAAAAACGCTGGGAGAACAAACTCCAGAATATGGACAGGACTTGTCTGTGGGTGGTAGGGACACGGATGACTGCTTTTTCCTTTTCTGTGCTTTTCTCTGTTCTGCAGGGTTTATAATAAACACGCTTCTATTGTCATCAGCAGAGCCATTAATGAATCCTTGGGGCAGGAGAGACGGGCCAGCCTCTGTGCAAGATGGCTGTGGACATGGGACTCCAGCCCGTGTTAGGGTGCACCCCACAGATGTGGGCGGCTCCTCTGCCCACCTCCCCCGCCCCCCACTCTCAGGCCCACATATGGACCTGGTTTCAGCTGGTCTCGCTCAGGGGAGCGGCCAGCCTGGGTTAATCTGGAAACTCAGCCGGCACTCTCCACCGTGGCCCTCCTGGACTCTTTGTCTGCTCTTACTTCCCTGTAGGCAGTGATTTGTTTTAGGCATAAACTGCAAAGTAAATAAAAAAAAAAAAATGAAATAAAATGAAATAAGTCCTCCCTGAGGCTGGTTTTGAGGTTTACTAGGTAAACCCCTTTTCTGCAACCGCAGGGTCTCAGAGCTGTTTTCCCCTCCAACCACGGCCAGTGTGTGCTGGAGGGTCAGAATGATCTCCGAGCTCGTCTTTCCTCCGGCCTCCAGCTCTGTGGGCGTGATCTTCCGAGAGGCGGAGCTGCCGGCCCCAGCGTGCACAGCTGAGCCGGGACCCGACTGGGGTCTGGCTGCCGGGAAGCCCCTGTGACAGCAGCACCCCCGGTGCCTCTGAGGCGGCTCGGGTCCCTGGAGCCGGGAATGTGCCCCAGACGATGGGATGACCACACGGAGAGGCCTGAACTAAGGGTGACTTTTTTAAAACGCCTCGGGACGCGGGACAAATTGTTAAAAGTAGGGACTGTCCTGCCAAAAGCAGGATGCCTGGTCACCTTATACTCTGTGGGCCACTCTGAACAGGAGATACATGGTCCCAAAGGCCCCACTGAGTCCCACGGGGCCTGGCTTGTGATGCAGTTTGTAGAACTGTCACCTCCCCCGTCTCACTTAACTCCACTCCAACGCTGTGAGGGAGGCCTTCACCGCCCACTTCACAGAGCAGGAAACGGAAGCTCAGAGAGGGTGAGCACCTCCCCCGAGGCACCCAGCGAGGAAGCCCAGCTTGGAATCCAAGCCCGGTTTCCCTGGTGCTCGGGGCTGACTGCCCTCACAGCCTCTGGGGAGGGCAGCTCCGGCAGGACTGGGACCCCCGCCTGGCCTCCATGACCAGGGTCTGGACAGAGGTGGCCGTGCGAGAGGCCTCTGGACAAACACACTCCCCTCCACAGGCTCACCCCTGCCTGATGCGTCTGGACTTCTAAGCAGGACCCGCCCCGGCCAGCTACCTTTCAACCTGCCCTCCCCACCTAAGCTGGGCTCGTTGATTCAATACAAGCTACGTTTTAGGTTTACTTGTAAAAGACCTGACAAGGGATGACACCACAAGGGCCAACCTGGAACCCAGGTCTCCGGTGCCCAAGGGGTGACAGAGGGGGCGGGGCAGGGAGCTCTGGGAAGAGGGTGCTCCACAGCCCAGGGCTGGGCCCTGCGCTCAGGGAGACGGGGCGGCGGGAAGAGCAGTGCTGGTGGGCTCAGGACACCAAGGCGACTTCTCAGAGCCGCGTTGCTCTGCCTGCAGGGCAGCGGGAGGGAGCGGCAGGCAGTTCCCACCAGGCCAGCCCCGCAGATCAATGCTAATCCCTCCAAGAAAGACCCGAGTCCCCGAGGAGCAGAGAGAGAAAGGCGTGCAGGCAGTTAAATAAAGGCTCGGAGGAAGAATACTGGCTTGAGAGAAAAGGGCAAAGAGAGCAAAAAATAAATGGCAAATTACCGGGTAGCCATCTCGTCCTGATTGCCCCTGTGGTAATTAATACGTCATTAATAATCAGACTTTCGGCAGAACACCATATGGCAGCACTTAGCACTCAATCAGGCCCCACACCGCTCCCCCCGGGGCCCGATGGGTTTGCAGCAGAGGCTGCTGGTGGGTAACCGATGGATGCCTTTGGGGGGACTCGGGGCTCTGACAAGTCTAGGCGATGGAGCACCCCATTTCCTGCTGCACTGGGCCAGGCTGCAGGGGCCACAGGGCACACATCCATGCGTGTCCTCCCATGGCAGCCGGCACACACATGGGGAGGACCACACGGGCACAAGGGCGCTGTCCCAGCCTCCAAGGAAAAGGCTCCTAAACCGCCCAGAGGCCTAGGCGCAGACGAGGGCTTCCTGCGGCTGCCCCCATGGGGGGATGGAGGAAGGCAGCGCTAGAAGCCGGAGCTGTGGCAGGGCGGGCATTTACTGCCGCCGCCGTATGCTCTGTCCCCACAGGCTCGGAGCACTGCCTGCATGGCAGCGTCTCCCAGGGCGGCATCCCCCTCAGGCTGCGGCATGTGTTTAAATGCACGTCCACAGCCCCCTGCTCCACGGCGCCCCCTGCAGGAGGCACTCCGGCGAGTCCACACAGACCACCTTCCCCGTGACGTCAGGGAGACAGCTGTGGGAAACTGCCTGTGGCCTCGCCTCACACATGCCGATCAGGAAGTGAATCATGGCAAGCGGAAGTAAAAACTAAGACAGTCATCCCAAAGGAATGCCCTTGGAAGGTGCACTGTGACCGGCAGGCTCTCCGCGCGCCTCTCGAACGGAGAGGCCAGGACGGAGAGCCGGAGAGCCGGGCGCGATGGCTCACAGACTCGCTGCGTTTCTGGAGGAAGAGGAAGAGCCGGGTTTCAGGGCGGACCATCCCCGATGATGTTCAGTGCTGCCTTGGCCACCAGCCCCTCCCCCACACCTTTCTCAAACCCAGTGCCCTGAGGGCCCACGGCCCAACCCAGGGAGCCAAATGGATTTTGGCAAAGAGAGACGGAGCCCGGAATCTCGTTAGGAAGCCCAGCTCATTCCTGGCGTAGCTGCTTGGCTCCAGATGCCAAAGCACGTGAGACAAAAGCCACGGGAACAGACCCATGCTGCAGGGCAGTTGGAAATGTGGGGTGTGGTGCCCCCTTGGAGCCGGGGCCGGGGTGCGGGGCAGCCAGGCTCCTGCCGGCTCTCTTGGAAGGAAAATGGTCCTGGGGGCAAGTGGAGCCCGCTGAGTTCATCTACACATTTAATAAGATAAGGCTCCTGTCTGGACTGATTTTTTTTTTTAAAGACACACCTCTCTAACTATTATTTTCAAAGAAATGCCACACAATAAAATGTCTTATCTTTCAGGAGCAGAGAGCATAATCCAGGACACTTACCGGAGGACCTGCAAAACACAAGCAGAGGGGCCGAGGTCAGAACCCAAGGGAGAGAGGTTTTATTTCACAATTAAAACATTCTCCCCCCCTCCCCCAGTTATAGCTGAAATAGAATATTATATTAATTTCAGGTGTACAGGTTAGTGATTAGACATTTATATCACTTATGAAGGACCACCCTAGTAAGTCTCGTACCCACTTGGCACCAAACATAGTTATTATAATACCAGAGGCCTGATGCACGACATCTGTGCCAGGGGCTTGGCCCTCACAACCCTGGCTTCGTCCGGAAGGTCGTCCGGAAGGTCGTCCGGAAGGCCATGTGGCTAGGCCACACCTAGCTCATCCCATAGACTCCAAAACACATCGAGCCACCCCCCTCAGGCCCGACTGGCACCATATCCTCAGGGCACCAATGCCTCGCAGGCGGGACTACCCGTACAGCCTCCTAACTGACACCTTCTTCTGGGCACCCCAACCCCACCAGCTACAGGTGCCCCACCCTTCCCGGAGCTCGGAATGGCACATGGAATAATACCCGAACTCCTGCTCTCCTGTGAGCACCTGCTCTCGTCAGCGCCCACCCTCCACCCGTCTCCCTGGGTTCCCCAAGGGCCCCCGTCGTTGGCTTCAGGACGTTTACAGCTACCGTGCTCCTGCGCTGGAGGTTCCAGGTTCTCAACCACCGCCTAGGAAAGCCTTTCGTCAGCATGAAGCCTGAGGCGTCTCTTCACCGGTGGCCCCACTGGTTTCTATCAGCTCCCTGCCATTTCCTTTCCAGCACCAATCACACTCCTTAGTGATTACCTATTTATTTGTGTTGTTTATTGCCCGTCAGCCCCATCAGCAAGGCAGCTCCCTGAGAGCTGGGGCCCCGTCTGCCCTCCCCAACCTCTACTCCCCACCCCTGTCTCTCCTGCCTCGCCCAGGGCCTGGCAGGCACGTGCACTTAGTACACGTGAGCGGAATAGATGAGGGTACCGGGCAGGCCATCGCCTCTAAGCCCTCCTCGCCTCACTTCACCCTTAGGGTTGTGCTGCGGCTGCAGTAGCCCCTGGAGATGGGATCTGGGGCCTGCAGAGAGCGGGGTACACAAGATGATGCAGGGAGGTGTGGGGTGGGGAGCGGGAAGGGCCTGGCTCAGGCTGTCCAGGGGTCCCTGTTTAGGGAGTGAGGCTGGCGGGAGGGCCCCCATCCAACCATGTGGCGGTCCCCCCCCCATGGCCCAGCTCACTCTGCACACAGCTTTCAAACACGTGTCCCAGGCATTGGCTGGATCTGCTCACTTTGCTGTCAGGAATGCGGGAGCAAGCAAATAAGAGCCAGATGACTTGGGAAATGAATGAAATGGGAGTAGAGTAGAGGGGTCAATGCCTCTGTGGCCTCTTTAACTGAACCGATGTGGCCGCACAGGGTTTCCCACTTGCCCCTGGAGGTCTGCAGGGTGCACGGGTGGCTTGTAAGCAGAGGCGTGCAGTTTCTGGGGCCACATGTGCTCACTTTGAGCTCTTTGCTCCTTCCAGGATGATCCCTGCCTGAGTGTTTCCCAAATGGAAAAGCAAACTGGGAAGAATATTTCCCACTCCCTGGCAGGTGCCAGACGGCATGCCGGGAGGTCAGGCTGGCCTTGGTGCCTGAGGCTCCCAGGGCCACTGTCCCCGCTCACAGCCCGCTCCTGCTGCTCTGTGCTGACTCCTGTTGCCCACTTCGCCTGCTGCCTGCTCTGCCCAGGAGGCCCTGGCTCTGACCCAGTCCTCTGCCTCCCACCACAGGCTTCTGACTTTTGAAAACCCAAACCCACCCCACAAGAGTGAGCTTCAGTCATGCCTCCAGGGTTTTCCTAGTGGAGCAGAGTGAACCACGATGACCATAGGCTTGGGGGTTGGCAAATTCAGAGCCAATAATGAGTAGGAGAGAAAATCTTCAGTCCTTGGGATATGCAGCCTAATAAGAGTGTCTTTGAATACCTGGGGCCTTGGGCCATGCCAGTTTATGGCAACAATGTGAATCATGGTGGAGGTTTTGGCCATGCTGTATCAGTTTGACCTTTGGAGTCTGAATGATTAAGGTCAGCCACATGGGCACTCAATAAAACACTGGATTGCACGTCTCAAGAGAGTTTCCCTGGCTAGAAACATCATACATACTGTCACATCCTTACTGGGAGAGTTAGGGCTGTCTGTACAACTCCATGGGGAGGGGAATATTGGAATTTGGGGTCCTATGTTCCTCTTAATTTTGCTGACTTTAATCTGTATCTTTTTGCTGTGCGAAGTCATAATCACAAATGTGTGTGTGTGTATGTGTGTGTATGTGTGTGCATATATGTGTGTATGTGTATATATGTGTGTATGTGTGTGTATGTATATGTATGTGTGCGTCTCTCTCTGTGTGTGTGTCTGTGTGTATGTGTGTGTCTGTGTGTGTGTCTGTGTGTGTGTATGTGTGTGTATGTGTGTATCTCTCTGTGTATGTGTGTATGTATGTGTGTGTATGTGTGTGTGTATGTGTGTGTGTATGTGTGTGTGTATGTGTGTGTGTGTGTGTATGTGTGTGTGTGTGTGTGTGTGTGTATATAATAAATTTGGGAAGGCCCAGGCCATTCTTCTTTCATATTTTTTTTTTCTGCTTCTTTTTCTCGCTTCTCCTTTTTCCTTTCTTCCTTAGACTGAATAATCTTAATTGGCCCATCTTCAAGTTTGCTGATTTTTTTTCTGTCAGCCCAAAGACTGCTGAGCCCCTCTAGTAAATTTTTCATTTCAGTTACTATACATCAGAGTGTCTATTTGCTTCTTCTTCTTCTTCTTTTTTATACTTTCTCTCTGTATATTGATGCTCTCCATTTGGTGGTACATATGCTTGAGTTTCCCTTTGATTCTTTAGACATGGTTTCCTTGAGTTCTTTAAATACAGTTAAAATAGCAAATATAATTTTTTTGTCTAGCATTTCCATCTGGGCTTTCTCAGAGACAGTTTCTATTGATTGCTTCTCCCCCTTTTTATTGCCATACTTTCTTGTCTCTTTGTGTGTCTCATAATTTTTTGTTAAAAACCGGGCATTTATAGTAATTTAATGTGACTACTGTGAAAATTAGATTCTGCTCCTACTTTTTTAGGGGTTGTTGTTGCTGTTTGTCGTTACTGTTGCTCAGTGTTTAGGGTTTTTCCTGGAGTCTCTAACGTGTGTATTCCTTGTCGTTGCCGCTGTTGAGTTCTCTGCTTGGTTAGCTTATGATCAGCATTGATAGACGTTTCCTTTAGGCCCTAAAGGAAAGACCCTAAAGTTTAGGGTCTTATCTGGTAAGTCTCCCACTTGCTGCCAAGGGGCTTGATGGAGGTGGGAGCAAAACTCAGTGCTCCGCCTCCTCACAGCTCTGCTGCTGCCTTCGCTGCTGCCTGGGCAGACGTGAGAGGCTGGGCTCTCAGGCTCTTCCCGGACATGCGCACATCCCTTCACACGCACGTGCCTTCCCGGTATGCCCGAGCTCTGCAAAGCCCCTTTAGACATCTCATCACCTAGGTTTTTGTTTAAGTTTTTGTGTCAGCTTCTTGTTTGTTCCAACGGGTAGCACCACGTCAGGCAGCTGTGATGTTAAACAATGGCCGCTGAGTGTTTTTGGCAAGCGCTCTAGACACAGGGCGTGCTCTGCGTCAGGTCAAACAAAGGCAAGGCCTGTGTACAAGCTTTTCCAGGGAGTTTACAGACATGCCAGATAGGAACAACTTCCTGAAAATGAGCTTTTGGGGACCTTCAGACCCGTTTGTCTCCTTCGATGGCTGCGACTGTTCACAGGTGCTGTGGCTGTAAGGCTTATGGTTTTGTTTTAATTTTTATTGATTGATTGATGAGAGAGGGGGGGAGAGAGAAACATCGATTTGTTGTCCATCCATTTATGCATTCATTGGTTGATTCTTGTGTATGCTCGGATTGGGGATTGAACCCGCAAACTTGGCGTCCCAGGACAAAGCTCTATCAACTGAGCTACCTGGCCAGGAAGGCTGATTTTTTTAAAGGGTATGGAACTGAGCAGATGGGCAAATTAAAATGTTACAAGCACTGCTGTTCTTAGCAAGATTTATAATTTTTTCTTGAATAAAGGGGTTGTTGCAAGTTTTCCATTAATTTCCTAATTGCAGAAAGGTCCATTTTCCCCTAGTTTTCTTGTGCTTTTATAAAGGAGCAGATTTTCAGAGTCCTTCACCCACCATTTTAGAAATTCTCCTTCCACTGGATTTTTAGAAAGGGTTTCTTGGGGTCGGGGTGGATAAAAAACCCTAGCGCTGAACCTGCCGATCTAAGGCTGGGAGCTGTGAGAGTCTGAGAGCCTCCATTTGTCTCCGCAGATTTAGCACAGCATCAGCCAAGCAGCATTTGATGGCTTCATCCTGGTTTCTTCCTGCATCCTTAGCCTTTATCCTTCATTGGCCCACGGGTCCTTCTTTCCCTCCCCCTCCTCTCTGCCCTCCCCCTTCCTGTCAGCAAACATGTACTGACCATCTCCTGAGTGCCTGTGGGTCCAGCCCCAGCTCCTGCCCCAGCAGCCTCTGCTTTGGTGGAGGGGAAAGACACATTTTTGGAGGACACGACCACAACCAGGCTGTGCTGGGACACAGGGAGGTGTCTGAGGCTGGCGGAGTCAGGAGAGCCAGGGGGGGGGGCGCGGGGGGGGGCGGGGGGGTGGGGGCGCGTTGAGGGAGAGCAAAAGAGGTTCTTGGAGGTAAGGGGGCACCTAGGAGGAGAAAGTATCTTGCTCAATGGCCCTGGAAAGATGACCCCAGAGGGCAAGAGCAGTGCCGGGCTTCCCCAGCTGAGAAGCGGGCCAGTGGGGAGATGAGCATTCGCTCCATTAGGACAGGCGCGCCCACAAACACTGCGGGGCCACAGAGGCGTCCATTTTCCAGGCAAAGGCTGCCCTGCAGCTGGAGAGCGCCCCCCTGACCCCCTCTCGCCCTCCCGCAGGCGAGCAGGCCGGGCTGGCTGCAGGTCTGCGGCAGCAGCAGGAAGGCCTCTCAGGCAGACCCTGTCCACCGGGCAGGCTCCCCGGGACACAGGAAAAGGCCTGGTTTTACAAGGGAAGGTGCCAGAGCCAGGATGTGCTAATCAGAGGGGAACATCTGCTCGGGCTGTTCACACCATTCCCCGACAGGCGGGGGATCGGGACCCGCCTGGGAAAGGGCGTGGGGGGGGGGGGGAGGTGCTGCCTGCCCCTTGCCCAGTGCCGATCTCAGACAAGGCACTTCTTCCTTTGAAGCCTCAGTTTCCTTATCTGCAAAAAGGGGCCAATGACCGATGCTTATCTTGCAGGGTCTGTGAGGATTACTTGACCTGCGGAACTTGAAAGCACTCAGCACACGGTATCAGGGGCCCAGGAAGTCCTTATCTTCCTGTGACTTTTCCACTGCTGTAAGCTGGAGTCATAATTCTAACGGGTTTTTTAGTAAGTTGAGTAATAGTATACATTTCCCTAGAAAAAGGCACTTTGTGTTCCTCATCTCCTTCCAGAATGGATGTCAGGAGTTTACAATAAAAGGCAATAAAACATTTTATGAGGACAGAAACAACAATTGAGTGATGAAATGCGTATTTGTAGGCCCGTGGGTGTGTGCGCGTGCCTGTGCGTATGCATGCGTGTGTGTGCATGTATGTGTATGTGTGTGTGTGTGCGTGTATGTGTGCATGTGTGTTATTACACACAAAATCTAGAGTACAGGAAGCCATGGCAATCAAACACAAAACAGCCTTCAGCTTCCGGAAGTCCAAGCACATGAGGACCATGACGGCATTTCCCACCAGGGCACTCTAGCGAGTTTATCTGGGGGCCCCTGTAGAAGGAATAGATAATGCAAGCATGCAGCACAGGGGGAGGAAGGCCTTGTCCAGCGCCAGGGAGAAGCGTCGGAGGCTCAGAGGGAGCCTGCTCAGCTCCCCAGGCCCAACCCGCTGGGGGTCCCCTTGGTGGTGATCCCCTCCGGCATCACACCACGCCCTCCTGGAGAAGCTGTGTAGGGGCTGAGCATGTGTTCATGCATGCATTCATTCATTCGTTCACTCACTCACTGTGCATTTACATTCCCAGGGCCTACTCTGTGCTGAACAGTGAAGACGTTGGAGATGCTTGCACCAGACTTAAAGAATACTGAGTCCCTGGGCTATGAGCTCAGGTAGAGGAGATGAGGTCCTGGGGAGGGGAGGCCAGGAGTGCTGGGTCAGAGAGGGAGGCCCTCAGACAGCCCTGGCGAGGCTGGAGGTGGGGACTCGGGGAGGGGTGATGAGAGCTGCAGGAGCTGTGGGTGAGGACACAGGTCTGAGAGGTACTGGGAGGAGACTGGCCAGGATTTGGTGTGGGGGGCGGGGTGGAGAGGGATCCAGGCTGATGCCCAGGTGTCTGCACAGGGAAGCGGGAGGCTGGAGGTTTCCTCCCTGCGATGGGAGCTGGTAGAGCGGGCTGGCGGAGGTGCTGGTTCACTGGGGCCAAGTCCAAACTCCAGAGGAAATAACGTGGCTGGAGTCAGGAAGGGGCTACCGTCAGTGTCATGGGGGAGGGGGGGCGCTGCCGTAGGAGTAGGAGAGGAGAGAGAAGAGGGCCAAGAGCAGATTCATTTAAGAGACAAATGGGGTACTACAGCAAAGGCAGGAAAGAAGGGGGTCAGAGATGTGGAGGAAACACGGTCAGAGCTGAGCTGGGAACACAGGGTGGGGACGTGGGGTGGCCTACAGCGAGGACCAAGGAGGAGAACGACAGCAAAGCATCCTCGGGGGTGACCATCGATGGCGTCAGCGGAGTGGCAGTGAAAGGCCCGGAGGGGCTTGGGTGAGTGGGAGGCGAGGCAGAGGAGCCAGGACAGGGCCGGGGTGTGGATGCTCTGAGGAAGCTTCTCTGTGTGTCCCGCGTAGGGGATGAGCAGAGCAATGCGTTTTGGGCGAAACGAAGATGGCAGGAGGGGAGGTACGGCGCGTACAGGTGAGTCTGCAGGTCGAATGGAAGGAGGAGTGTCTTTCTGGTGCCTCTGCCGAGGGAAGGGCAGGCCACGTCTGGGGAGGGACAGGGGCACAGGAGGAGCAGGGCCAGCAGGCTGGTGGGGTCACCATCAGCTCCCACAGGGCCAGGAGGTGGTTTCAGGGTGAGGCCAGGGATTGAAGTTGCTGAGGTTGACATAAGATTTGGAGGGTGCCACGGACATGGGTGGGACAGTCACTGGAACTGTGATGCCAAGAGCCAGGAAAAGGGGTTCCGGGCACTGTGGCCTCCAGGGGCAGTGGCTGGAATTGGAAGGGAGGACCTGTGAGTAATGAGGTGCTACGGGGACTGGTGTACCCAGCTCAGTCCCTGGCCAAGGGCACACTGAGTAGCAGGAGAGGCTGGGACTCACCGGGGTCACCTCTTCTTCCAGGCTTGCCACGCCGTCCAGGGGGCCCTAGATAGGAAAGCAAGGATAGACTCATTGAGAAGGGAAGCCAGTGGGTTTGGGCACAGCCCGCCTGCTGCTGGCCTTGCCCGCGCCCCCCCCCCCCCCCCCCAGCTGCATCCTGGTGGCAGCTTTCTTGCCACCCTGCTGGCTGACAGAGAAGCCCTCCCTCACCCCTGCTCCTCCCAGCCTTCCCCTGTTGGTTGCATTCTCACCCCTCACTCTCATTCAGTTACTAATCATTTGTTCATTTATCCATTCACAATCCCTCTGAAGAAGAAGAAAAAAAAAGGTTTATTATCTGGAAACTCTTGAGGTAGAAGAGTTTGCAACTGAGAAACTTCTAGATGAGGAGAAATAAAAGGCCGAAGGTGGGAGTTATGAAAGCCCTGACCAATGCTTTTTAATCTCCTCGGCGATAAAACATCAGCGACAGCACACCACATAAAGACACCAGCATGGCATTTCCAATGCTTGAACTGGGCAAGAAGAGGCACTGCCGGACCCATCCACTGTCCTGCCCGGGCTCGCCAGAACCCTCCGCGCCTCCCAGCCCCGCCAGCTCGGGCGGATGCTTCTGCATTTCCCGGATTTATTGCAGAGAAGGCGGCTTCTTTTCACAATGCAGCTCTCCTTCCACGCGGCTGGCGCCTTTCTGAACTGATGATGGGAACCATCTTGCCTTGGCCTTCATCCCCTCTGTTCTCTTCATTCTTTTCTCTTTTGGGGAAAGGTGTGCGGAAGAGAAGATGCAAGCACTAGATTACAAATGAGATGGCACTTTATATCTGTCTCTATCCTGCCCGCCCCTGCGTGCCAGGCGCTGCGGTGGGCCTGGACGAGGTAGATGGACAGACTGTGGCTGTATCACAAGGCACTGCCTTTTCCGGTGAAGGTCACCCCCCTCCCAAATTCCCAGAACTGCCACCGAGGAGAGGCAGACTGGTTGGTCATTAGGGTAGTTGTATGCATGCACACGCCTGTGTGTTTCCCCTTTTCCTCCTCCTGTTTTTTTTTTTTTTTTTTTTTTTTTTTTTTTACAGAGAGGAAGAGAGAGGGATAGAGAGTTAGAAACATTGATCAGCTGCCTCTTGCACACCCCCTACTGGGGATGTGCCCTCAACCAAGGTACATGCCCTTGACCGGAATCGAACCTGGGACCTTTCAGTCCGCAGGCTGACGCTCTATCCACTGAGCCAAACTGGTTTCGGCCTCCTCCTGTTTTTAAGTGGTGCTGATTGTATGCCCCTGATCCAGGGATTGGCACGGGGCAGTAAAGCAAAGGCAGCTCCGGTCAGGGGGTCAGAGGCACTTCCTGACTTCTGTGAAGGGGGAATCCTGGATGGGGAGGAGGGAGGACCTCTGAGAACAAGTGAGAGAGAGAGCTGTGCAGGCCAGGCTCCAGCGAGAAGGAATTTCTGGCCAGCACTGGGGGCTTGAGAGCAGGATGGCAAAGCATTTAAAATATTAAAAACATGCTGTTTTCTTGCACCCCTGTGTTTGTAATTAAAGAAAAGTTATTGTGGTCAAGACCACATAACATAGAATTTACCGTCTTTAACCATTTTTAAGAGTGCAGTACGTTAGTGTTAACATATGTCCGGTGTGTGCACAGGTCTCTAGACTTTTTCATCTTGCAAAATGGGAAACTCTTTATCCATGGACAGCCCTCTCTTCCCCTTCCCCCAGGCCCCCACAAACCACCATCCTACTTTCTGTTTCTAAGACTTTGCTTATTTTAGATATTGCAGATAAGTGGAATCTTGCAGGATCTGTCCTTTTGTGAGTGGCTTATTTCACTTAGCGCAATGTCCTCAAAAGTTCCCCCCTATTGGTGGCCATTTCCTTCTTTTTAAAGTCTCAGTAAACATTCCATTGTATGTCCACACCACATATTCTTCATCCATCCGTCCAGCTGGTGGTGGATACTGAGTTGCTTCCACCCCTTGGCTATTGTGAATAATGCTATAAACACGGGGGAACAAGTATCTCTTCAAGATGCTGTTTTCAACTCTTTTGGATAAATGCCCACAAGTGGAATTGCAGGGTCATTTGGCAATTCTATTTTTAATTTGTTGAGGTCCGTCCTCACTGTTTTCTATAGTGGCTACACCATTTTACATTCCCTCCAACAGTGTACAAGGGTTTCAGTTTCTCCACATCCCCACCAACATCTGTTATTTTCTGTTTGTTTTGTTTTGTTTTTTGGATACTGGCCATCCTAAAGGATGGGAGGTGATATCTCATTATGCTTTTAATTCGCATTTCCTTAATAATAAGTGATGTTACACATCTTTACATATACCTGTAGGCTATTTGTACATCTTCTTTTGGAGAAATGTCTATTCAGGTCCTTTGCCCATTTTTTAGTTGGATTGTTTTTGTCACCGAGTTACAGTTCTTTTTTGTTTTCCTTTGGTTAATCCTCACCTGAGGATACTTTGATTTTTAGAGAGAGTGGAAGGGAGGGAGGGAGAGGGAGAAAGAGAGCGAAACATTGCTGTGAGACACATCGATCAGTTGCCTCCTGTACCTGACCCAACTGGGGCTGGGGATTGAACCCAAAGCCCGGGCATGTGCCCTTGGCTGGGAATCAAATGCGGGGCCCCTTGATGCCTGGGCCAGTGCACCAACCATTGGGAACACTGGCCAGGGCTGAAGGAGTTCTTTGTATATTTTGGATATTAACCCCTTATCAGGTATATGGTTTGCAAATATCTTCTCCCATGTTGCAGGCTCAATCCCCAGTAGGGGGCATGCAGGAGGCAGCCAATCAGTAATTCTCCCTCATGATTGACGTTTCTATCTTGCCCCTGACCCTTCCTCTCTGAAATCAATAAAAAAAAATTATTAATAAAAAAAAGTGTTGGTGAAGACATAGAGGAAAGGGAAGCTTCATGCATTTTTGGTGAATTTGTAAATTGATGCAGCCACTATGGAAAACAATATGGAGGTTCCTCAAAATATTAAAAATAGAACTACCATATGACCCAGCAATTCCACTTATCTGAAAAAACCAAACCACTAATTTGAAAAGATATACACATCCCTATGTTCACTGCGGCATTATTTACAATAGCCAAGCTATGGAAACAACCCAAATGTCAAGCGATAAATGGAAAAAGAAGATGTGATACATATATACAATGGAATATTACTCAGCCATAAAATAGAATAAAATATAACCATTTGTGACAACATGGATGAACTAGAGGGTATTATTCTAAGTGAAAGAAGTCAGACAGAGGAAGACAAATATTGTTCGATTTCACTTCTATGTAAAAGCTAAAAACCAAAATAAACAATACAGATACAGACTCATAGTTACAGAGAAAAAAACTGATGGCTGCCAGATAGGAGGGTGTTGGGGGTTGGTTGAACAAGGGGACGGGATTAAGTAGTACAAATTGGTAGTTACAAACTAGTCATGGGATGTAAAATACAGCACAGGGAATGTAGGCAATAATAGTGTAATAACTATGTACAGTACCACGTGGGTAGTAGACTTATTGGGGTGATCACTTCATAAATCATCTAAGTGGCTAATCACTATGTTGTAACCCTGACACTAACATATTGTGTCAATTGTAATAGAAAAAAACGTTAAAAAAATTTCTGCATATAATTAAAAAAATATATTTTGTTGTTTTTTTCACAGAGAGGAAGGGAGAAGGATAGAGAACTACGGTAGAAACATCGATGAGAGAAACATCAACCAGCTGTCTCCTGCACACCCCATAACGGGATGTGCCTGCAAACAATGTACATGCTCTTGACCGGAATAAAACCTGGGGACCCTTCAGTCCGCAGACGGACACTCTATCCACTGAGCCAAACCGGTTTTGGTCAGATAATCTTGTTTTACAAGCACTAGTGAGTGATCTGCCTACTCATTTCAGCCTGGCCTAACAAAGCTCTCTGCTCCTCAGAGGAGGGCGTCAGGCCCTGGGCACACGTCGTGGGCCCAGGAAACCTGGTGCTCTTGGAGGGCACTGACTCCCCAAGAGGCTGGCCAGCTGGTGGGCTGCTTGGGCTGGGCCAGCACCGCGAGCCACGCTGTCCTTTGGGAATTAAAACCACAGCCCCTTGTTCAGCAAATACAGCTCATTCCCACGAAGCGTATGTCCCCGCAGGCATCCTCCATCACCCACCACCCTGCAGGGAGCTGATGGTCCCGAGCCCCGACGTTTGTTGGAAAGTCCCACAGCAGTTTGAAAAGCGATGCCACAGGCTGTCGGACGGAAGAGCGCATGTTCGCTTAGAACCAGGACGTTTGTTTAGAACCAGCAACTTCTGCTGCTACCTGAGGCAGGTCCGTACCATCCCGGTGACCAGAGGCCCAGGCCTGGCCAGCCCGCTTTGGCATCGTCTCATTCCGTGACCGAGTGAACAGAGCCCATGGCGAGGGGAGGGGGGAGGGGAGAGGGCAGGTGGCCCCGACCTCACATGCACAGGGTCTCACACGTGCACGCCGGGGTTCTCTCCAAAGGAGCCGGCAGTCCTGGGCAGCCATGCAGCCCCCGACAGCATTTAATAACAACAGGAGTTTGGCGACACCATTTATGGAGTGTTTGCGCTTGGCAGTAATCTCAGTTCCATGTTAACTCACATCTGCCTCAAACCTATGAGGAAGGCCATGATTATTATTATCTCCATTATAGACGTAGAATCCGAAGCACAAAGAGAGGAACTGATTCTCCAAATCCGGCGGCTGTCGTGGGCGGGGCCTGCCGCCTGCCTCGGGCTCAGGCAGAGGCTCACTGAGGGGGAGCGGTTACCGGAGCCCACCATTTCCATACCGCTTCTTGGCATTGATTACTATTATTTTTTAAACATACCGGGTTCCGTACAACACGGAAGGGGCCCAGAGACGGCGCTCAGAAGTCCGTGCATTAAAAGGCCACAAGCCACTGCCCACATTGGCGGCCCCAACGACGTGTGCCTGCTTTTGAAGGTGCTCCTCACCCCATCCGAAATGCCCGTGTGTTCCAGGCTGGCTCCGCCCCGGA